TCTGTTCTAAGCACCTATTCAGTGATTGGAGGGGTTCAGAGTCACCAGGTGACATCGTGATGTAGAGCTGTGTATCATCTGCATAGTTATGGTAGCTGATCTTATTTCATGTTATAACCTGAGCTAGTGGGAGCATATAAGTATCAATACTTATATGCCCCTCTTATTCAAATAAGAGGGGTCCTAGGAGTGAACCTTGGGGTACCCCACATGTGACCTCTGTCCTCTTTGATAAGAAGTTTCCAATTGAAACAATGAAATCCCTGTTGTTTATGTAAGATTCAAACCAATTGAGCACTGGACCGGAGAGTCCGACCCAACTCTCAAGTCGATTCAGTAATGTGTCATGGTCGACAGAGTCAAAAGCTGCACTGAGGTCCAACGGAATCAGCACTGTGGTTCTCCCAGAGTCTGTATTTATATGGATATCATTGAACACTTTTACAAGGGCCGTCTCCGTGCTGTGGTGAGCACGAAAACCAGACTGGAAGGAGTCAAAGCGATTCATTATTGGTAGGAAGTTAGTTAATTGTTTAAAAACTGCTTTTTCAATAACTTTGCTGATGAATGGGAGGTTGGAGATTGGCCTGTATTTCTGTCTAGATTGTTCTTTTTTATCAGTGGTTTGATAACTGCTGTTTTCAAAGCCTGAGGGACATCACCTGAAGAGAGCGATGAGTTACTATTTGGATCAGATCATTAGCAACGACAGGCAAAACTTTCTTAAAGAAATGTGTGGGTAGGACATCCAGACAGCAGGAACTTGAGCTTAATTGACTTATAATTTCTTCTAAAGTTTTATAATTAAGCAGTTGAAATTGGGTCATTTTTCCTGTATTTGTTTTGTTTGGGCACAGAATAGGTACTAGCTTTAGGGTGGATGTGCAGATTAATCCTCTGATTTTTTTTATTTTCTCTGAAAAGAAGCTGGAAAACCTGTTGCAGGCTGCATTAGATTGAAATTCAGGTGGTAACATCATAGGAGGGTTTGTGAGCCTGTCAACTGTTAAAGCTTGAGCATTGTTAATGTTTTTGTTTATGACATCTGCAAAGAAAGACTCCCTTGCACGTTTTAATGTTGAGTGATAGTTATGTAGTCTTTCTTTATAGATTTCATAATAAACATGAAGTTGAGTTTTACGCCATTTTCATTCGGCCCTACGGCAGAGTTGTCTTGCAGATTGAACTGTTTGTCCATTTCTCCATGGAAATTTCTTCCTACCAGACACAACCTTCACTTTAATGGGGGCAATAAAATCAATGATATCTGAAAGTTTAGACTGAAAATCATCTACCAACTTATCTACATCATTACAGCTTAAGGGCAAGGAAGAAGAGTAGATTTGATGAAATGTTTCTGCTGTGTTTTCTGTGAAAGAACATTTTGTGACAGTAGCTGTTTGTCCAAGTGGGTTAACGGGTAAGTGCTTTCAAAGATAACAGCAAAGTGATCCGACAGGGCGACATCAGTTACAGAGACTTTGGAAATATTTACACCCTTACTCCCTTGCACGTTCCAGATCCAGTGTGTGTCCTTGAGTGTGTGTTGCTTGTTTGACATGTTGTGTTTGACCAAAATTCTCTAATATATTAAAGAGTTTTTTTGCCCCTCGGTCTTGGGGTTTGTCAACATGAATGTTGAAATCACTGACAATTATTAAACAATCATAATCAATGCATATGAGATAGAATCTCATTCAAGTCAGTAAAGAAAATTTCCAGGTAAGTTGGAGTTTTGTATAAAGTTAGTATCAAAGTTCGTTTGCGGCCTTTAATCTCAGTTTCAAGATACTCAAAAGAGGTGAAATGACCTAAAGAGATTTTACTATAATTTATGGTATTCTTAAATATTGAAGCCACACCTCCTCCTTTTTTGTTTTCTATTTTCACTTAAAAAATTGTAGTTAGGAGGTGCTGATTCAATTAGCACGATTGGTTCATTATTGTCATTCAACCATGTTTCTGTCAGAAATAAAACATCAATATTATGCTCAGTGATGAAATCATTAATTAATAGAGCATTAGCACAGAGAGATCTGGTATTTAAAAGAGCTAGTTTAAGTGACTTTGAGTCCAAAAGTTCTTCAGTCTGAGGTTCCTTTAGGCAGGGGATCAGTCTGAGGTTGAATTAAGACCACTTAATTCAAACCTCAGTCTTTCATTTAAGTCTTTCATTGAAGAAATTTTAGTGCAGGGTTCCATATCTTCTCAAACAGATCAACTCTATATTCATTGTAATATCTTAGTCTTTCCAGATGCAGAGTATTTGCACAGATCAAATGTGGACACAGAGTCCTTCTTCCAAAATCTCAAAATCAACCTTTTAGTAATCACCATGCCAAACAAAACAGCCATTTTCTCACTTTTAGTGGCTGATTGCAAAGCACTGGAGGTTCCAATAATGGCAATAAGTAGTTCTGGGTCCCATTGTTTTCCAAACAACATATGTTGAAAAAAAGCTAAAAATGTTCTTCCAAAATGAGTGAAGTTGAACACATGACCAGAAGAGTGTGTCAAATTATCAATAGCAGCCTGACAACAATTACAAATTGGAGACACACTTGTAAAGAAAGTGCTCAGCTTCTCCCTCGAGTAGTGGAGTCTATGAATTGTTTTGAACTATAAGATTGCGTCTGGCATTGACTGAACAGTCTTGTATAGTTTTCAAACCCTCCTCCCACACTTCATCAAGTAGCTGCTGCCCTAACTCATCGTCACATGCCATCTTCATTCCGGTTGTGTCTACAGGGATACTATTAAAGATCTTATAAAAGTACAACACTGCCCCTTAGTTAAAGCTCCAAAATTTGGTACATTTTTCTTAACACACTCCCGGACCTGCAGATAACAGAAACAACTTGACAGGGGGAAGATTCAGAACATAACGGTGCAAAAAGTTCCATTAATATGTTGGTCACCTATCACATCGATGCCCTTCATTCTCCACATCCAGAAGACGGCGTCGCTGAGACCTGGTGCAAAGAAGTGATTTTCACAGATAGGAGTGTCAAAATCAACCTCCGGAGTTTTATTAAAAATTTTATTGGCTTCTAGATTCTGATAGTTCTGCCAATAACAATCTGGGTGGATGATTAAACCTATGTCTTTTTTGAGTCTATTGGTTAAAATTTTCCCAAGGATTTTGGTTTCTAAAGGCAACAATGAAATTGGGCGATAGGATGAAACAACCTGTGGATCTCGGCCAGGTTTAGGAATGAGCCAAATATTGGCTCTGTATAAAGTGGGAGGTAGTCTTGACGCTAGCTTAGAGTGGTTTAACATATGCAAAAGTAGAGGCGATAATTTGGGACTAAATATTTTTGAAGAACTCAACACTGAAGAAGGACCAGGTGCTTTGTTGTTGGGAAGGGTAGAGGTAACAGATTCAATTTCCTGTAAAGCTATGCTGGCTTCCAGTGCTTCAACCAAACCTAATGGTAGTGTTGGCAGATTCAAATTTTCAAAACATCTTTCCATAATTTCAATGTCCAATTTTTCCAATGACTGAAAAATTAGCATAAAAGTCTGCAAACCACTTGTTGACTTTATCTGGATCTGTGAGTAAAGTCCCGTCTTCAAGCTTAATAAGATGTATGGCTCTTGGGTGCTGTGGTGGTGCAGGGGCAAAGCACGACTAGGCCTGTCACGATAACAAATTTTGCTGAGCGATTAATTGACTAAAAAATTATTGCGATAAACGATAATATTGTTTCAAGACCAGTTGACACTAATTTAATGGAAATGACTAATAATGCATGTGATTTCCTGCCATAGGTAGATACACTTTATTTTCAAAAGAACATATAACACTGGAACTGATAAACTAAATAAACAAAACAACCAAAAACAAAAATAAAATGGATTCTCAATCTCCATTAACAAAAAACGTACTTGAATAAAAACTAAACAACATAAAGCCAAAGTGGAAATAAATACTGCATTCAACCAAAAGAGTGCAGATTATGAAGTCTGTATACTATATTGCACTTCAGTAATTACTAGATTTAAATAGAGAAGATGGGCACATCCGACTACCTTATGCAATAGTTCACACTACACGATTTTTTGCCCTTATTTTCCCCTTACGATAATCTTACAACATTGGGTGATCCAAGATTGTCGCTGGTGATTTCGTAACCGATCATCCTGCAGTGTATGGTGAGTTACGGTACATCGTGGCCGCTCCGATTTAAATCAGGGGTTTTCCCCGACTGGGAGCTTAACGCTGAATGTGACAGGTAGCCAATCAGAAAGCACCGATTCTCCTCCTGCTTTCTGAGGGGAAATTACGGAGGGGAATCCCAAACAGCTGACACGGCGCAACCCGAAGTCCAGCAGACATTGGAGATGATATGTGGAAACAACATTAATATTTATTCAACATTTCGTGCAAAGAATATAGAAATGACCAGGGGAGAAGTTGGAGCCAAATTGCTACCGCAGTTGATAAACCCGGTAACTTTTCAGCTGTTCTTCGTTAACGTGACATAAATAGTTATAATGATTTTCATTCAGTCAGGACTTTACACTGACTCTAGCCACATGCATCACAGGTAGATTCTAATAAAGCATTGATTAATGCCTGATTTTAAAATTAGTTAACTGGACTTGTTGCCATTATTTTGTGCCCATGTGGACACCACAAGGCACGACAAACCTGATGGAACCATTATGCCTAGAATTTCTGTCGGCTATTGTGTCTCTCAGGTTTTGAAAATGGGCTGACAGTCAGCCGACAACTCCTGTAGTGTGAGCTGGACATTACACTAAGGAAATGAGGAAGGGAGGGTCATTGGAGAGCACCGGAGTTGAGCCTTTTTTCATTCAGTGTCATCAACAGAAAGAAAAAACGCAGGAAGAAACGATAAAGCCGATAATTAAAATGAGGTCGATAGGTTTGATTTATCGTGCGCTTAATTGATTTATTGTTTATCGCGACAGGCCTAAGCACGACCCATGTATTGAGGCCTTGGTCCTTGTGCCGGTGTTCGCAGGTTCGATTCCCGGCCTGGTGACATGTGCCGCATGTCTTTCCCCTCTCTCATTGCCTTCTTTCCTGTCGAACTACTTTCAAAGAAAGGCCACTAGAGCCAACAAAGCCTTTAAAAGAAGATGTATGGCTCTAGAGACATGTGATTGTTTAAGCTGCTGGGCTAATAGCTTATGGGGTTTGTCACCTAACTCAAAGTGTCTTTGTTTGACTTGTACCAGTAACTTAGAAACGTTTCTTGACATAATTGAATTATATTTATATCGTAGAGCTGTTATTTTATTCAGTGTATCTGGACACTGCTTTAATTTGAGTTATCTAAGCTAGTAGTCAGCAGGCCATCTATCTCATCCAACCTCATCTTGGACTTTTTGCTGCCTAGAAAAAAAATGATACATTCCCTTATAACCACCTTCATTGCTTCCCAGAGCATTGAATCATCCACATCCCCTTTGTCATTAGAGCTCAGGTATGACTTAATTTTGAATATTTGAATAGAAATATACGAGCAATTTTTTTTAATCTTTCAACAGAGTGCTATTTAAGCACCAGTTGCACCAACCCATTTTATAATCCAATTTAAGATTCAGCGACACAGGAGCATGATATGACATGTGAATATTGTGGTATTTGAGGCTTAATACTGATGCTAGCAACCAAGAATCCAACAAGAAGTAATCAAACCTAGAGTAGGACTTATGTACTGCAGAAAAGTATGAATAATCCCTCCCAGTAGGGTATAACAGTCTCCAAATGTCAACCAAACTGTGGGATTGTAAAAGATTTTTAAGGGACTCGCCACTCTTGAATAAATTTAACTGAAGGCGTTGTCTATCTAAGACTAGGTCCAGGGTTAGGTTTATGTCCGATCCAATAATTATATTAGAGCCAACCCAATCCGGCACTACATTAAAAAGGTCTTGAAAAAAGACGATAACATCAAAATTAGGCCTGTAAATATATAGGCCTGTATATATTGACCAAGGTCAATATATACAGTTACAGAATTTAGCAGCCTACTTACAATCACATATCTTCCCTTTTGATCAGAAATTGTCTGCTTGTGAGTGAATGGCGTCAAGTAAACGCAAATCATCACTAAAAGGAAAAAAGATCCGTCTTAGCACCCTCACTAAAATGCTTAGCACCCCTTAGCACCTGCAGAAAAAAGATTCTGGAGCCGCCACTGTTCGTCACCTTGTTCATAATATGATGGCACATTACAAATATGCTATGCAGATGTCTTAAAGATTATTTAGGGTGAAATAATGGTGAAGTTGAGTTGGAGCTTCCTCAAAACATGTCTACTATTGAGACCTATGCCAGGCTCCATGAAAGTTTATTTTTACCTCCCATTTTAAAAGAGATGGGTACACTTGAGCAGACATTCAAAAAATCTACTACGTCAATAATCTTGATGCTATGAGCTCTTTTTTCATATAACAGATAGCACAGCAACACAAAATAAAATTCTATTCAATTAAGTTAGTTTATATAGTGCCAATTCCCAATTAATGTCTTTTCATGATTAGTTTACTGAGCATATGAGTAATGTTTTTCAATACATTGAGTCAAACTCATTTTTGTTTTGGGCCAAATCAAGACTCTCTTAAAGGGCCAGTTGTGCTAGAATGAACTGATAAAACCCATTCACAAACTGTTAAAATATAAATGAATTTTTAAAATTAAATAATATTGAACATCTTTTCAGTTCCTTCAGGATTTCCTGATTCTTTTTGTGCTTTTTTTGCTATAAAAATCAGTCTTTGTAGTACTTATCTGAAAATATTTGCGCTGATTTATGACAGTAAATGCGACTTTATATTACTCGCTGTATGGATCATGTACTATAATCTGACATCAATTAAGGTTGAGGAGCTGTTTAGTACAATTTTTGAGAAAAATCTGCAATAAAATCCCAATTTTTAGTTTGTGTGAATTTCTACGATAATTCTCAAGAAACCAGAGGACCTGATTGATATAGATCAGTTCCTCCAGGACAGAGCTATGTCAGGGATAGGAGCAAGCAGATAAAAACTGCATTGATTTTGACTGATAACATAGTATTTAAGCACATTTAATGTTTAGACTAGAATCTAGGGAGCCGCAGCCAATGGGGAGCCGGATCGGGCCCACGGGCCTGAGTTTGACACATGTGCATTACAGCAAGACCAAGGAAAGAAAAAAGCTTACTGCTTTGTGTGATCTTCTGGATGTTTGAGCTGCATGTCTGAATGAGAGTGCTGAAGTCTCTTGCGACAGGGCGAAATTCTGCTTTTCCGTAAGACATGTTTGAGACAGGCCGTTTCCTCAAACTTAATATCTGACTGCAAAAAAAAAAGAGTGGAAGAACATAAGCCGTCACAAGCCAAGTAACGTGACTTTCCAGGATTAACACAATGCTACTCTAAGTGTTGGCATGTGAGAGTTACACTGCTAACATGCTGCTATCCTTTTAGGAAACAGGCCACAGGTCTGTGTGAGTTTAGAGCTTCAGGTTTTAGAACTTTGCGCCTGGCTGTTGTTACAAGGTCCTCTTACTATCTGTAAAGGTAATAATGATAATAGTGATGATAATAATAATAATAATAATAATAATAATAATAATAACAACAACAACCGCTAATGCAGTGTGCACCGTTGTTTTAAGCAGTTCTACGAATGAAATTGTTAAATGCAGCACATTACACATTAATATAGTTTCTAATGACATAGTTAGCTGAGTTGACGTCCTGTTAACGTTATGTTAAAAGGAGATATAAAGCTGTTAGCTGCTTAGCTAACCGCTTCAGACCCGTCATGCACGGTTGTTTACAGTCAGTTGGCCGAATAGAACATATAAAGCTCTGCTCATAAATAGGAAGGAAAAACAACATACCGAATGTAATACTTGTTGCTTATTAGACTGTTGAAAATTAGCACATATGAGGAGAGATTAAAAAATATGTTCTGCGGCCAGGTTTCGTACAGAACCTTATAAACTGTCACTGAACAGAACTACCCCATTTACGCTAACAACCAATAACATAAGTCACAATAAACATACCAGCCAACGAAAATCAAGTGTCCCACCCACTTTACTATAGGTTCCAATCCAATCTGCAAAACTGCTATACTTCCTGGTCTGTAAGATTTTACGTAACACGATAAAAAGAAAACAGCCACATCTACATAGATGTCGCCTTGGAGCAATGCGTCAATGCATTCGCCATATTGGTACGGGAGGCTTTCTTGTTAAAAGGTGGCAGTCTACTATTGCGAAGATCTGTCTACAAGTAAAATCACTGGCGATTTTCAACTAGTAACTAAGCTGTTTTTTGCTTGAGTTTTGCTTACAAAGTCGCGATGCTTTATATATATATATATATATATATATATATATATATATATATATATATATATATATATATATATATATAGTTGTGTTATTTAGTATATTATTGCAACTAAACACTTTATGTAAAACAACATGCTACAAATTGCCTTGCCTATTTACTTAAAGGATTCACTATTTTATTACTTTGTGGTGTGGTTTAATAGCGAAAGCAGCTGATTGCTTACCGAATGCTGTATCTAGGTATTTTAGTAGATGTTTACCCTTGAATGAACAATCTTAATTATTGAGAAAATCTGTGTAATGCATGCTTTATTTCTGGTCTGATTGTGGATTTTACCGTATAAAAAAATATCTCTTTCAAACACCTTTGCATCAAGAATATTTTAAGAGCAAAGTGTGAATTGTTTCTAATTAGACCATTTACACATCTTAAGTTTTTTAGAAAGGACACAAGAAAATTAATAAGACATAGGTTACAGAAACTGACATAGTCTATTATCCTTAATTTGAAAGTCATTCACTCATATTTTACCTCAGAAAATTCATAAAATATAAATGAAAAACAATAAATAATACATAATTATGTTTTTATTCTATTTTATTTCCAATTTCTTTAGCCTAATTTTGGCACCTGGAGCACCAGAAGTCTCAACAACAAATAAGGTCAAATGTGGCAGGAAAAACTTTTCACCTCTGGAATTTTATTCAGAGATTGTTCACCTTCTTACAACACCTGAAAGAAGCACCAGTTTCTGGTATCTTTACTCTGTGGCTTCTTCATTTACAATTTACAATTCTTACAATTTTTCCCCACAGGCCGGAGCTGTGGCACCCGACTATGTTGTTCAAATAAATGTAAACTTCGGGGATCCAGGCGACATCTAGATGTGTGTATCTATGATAAAACAAAATTGCCATGTACAATTGAACGACATGAACTCCACCCAGTGTAAAACACGCAAACAGCAAATCAAACAGACTCAAAAGGAGCAAGAAAGGATCCCACCATTATGTCAGGTCTCTGGGTCTTGGGTTGGGTTTATTTCTGTGTTTTTCTTTTCTTCTTTCATTTAATCAGCTATGATCTAGTTCACTTTAGTTCAGCCCTTCATGGTTATTTTAGTTGGGGCCTGCCCATAGCAATGCATAAGGAGAGCAGTGA